CCCAGCGTGAGTTTGAAGTTGCCGAGTTGATCACATGGGAGTCCGGCGACATAACTGTTATGCCATCTGCTGGCCCCTGAAAATATACTTTAAGGGCAAAATCTGTATGTATTCATGTCTCTGTTTTTCAGAATACTCAGCATAATGGTGGGATCACAGAAGTTTCTTAAATGTCACAAAGGCCTGACCATATACTTTGATAAGCTAAATTTTTTTTTTGAGAGGGTTTTTGCTATAGGGCGCGTGCGCTCGCCAGACAGACAAAAAGAGACAGAGAGCCAGAAAGCGAGAAATCACCCCCCAGGGGGGAATACCACGCTGCAATCCATTCTCCTCTCGGGATCTTGGGCTTGCACGCACACGCACCCAGCGTGAGTTTAAGCCACTGGGTCCGGGACACGAACCGCGGTCGACTACATGGGAGTCCAGTGACATAGCCATTACGCTAACTGCTGGTCTCAATAAGCTAAAATTTTTAAAGACTAACTTTTAAATTTATATCTGGCTCCTACAGTATTTTTGCTTCTTCTGCCTCTAGTCAATCACATTCACTCATTACAAACTTTTCCTACTACAAGGGTTCCTGAACAGAATTTTCTTTATTGGGACTGCTGCCTTGACTTGGCTCCCTACCCTCAAGTTTCTGTTTCACACTTGGATTCTCTACAATGTCATCCCTAAAAAGAATTCATCCCCTTATTCTACTCTTGATTCCCATCCCATTTGCTGAAATGTATAGAGTCTAAGGGACAGCAATTGGATTTACAGGGATTAACGTAAGATCAGAAGGCATTTTTAGTATCTTGTTCAGAATATTACAATCCTCGTCATTCTGGACTTTGAGACAAAAATAAGATGTCTGATGATCTAGAGCCAGGGACTTTCTCAGGGATAAAATTCTTTTACTGCTAAAGGGGATTCTGGAGTTAGAGGTACCCTGGCATTTGGGGGACCAACAAATAACTGAGTGATAAAATGGACAGGGACCTTTCTTAAGACCCCCAAAGCACAGGTTATAATCCCAAAAATAGACAAGTGGGAGTTACAGCAAGTTAAAAAGCTTCCAAACAGCAAAATAAACAATTATTAGAGTGAATTGACAATCCTTGGAGTGGGAGAATATATGTGTAAACTATGCCTCAGATAAGGAACCCATATCTAGAATACATAGGGAACTTGAGCAGCTCACCCTCCAAAACAAGATCAACCCAATTAAAAGATGAAAAAAAATGAGTGTATCTCTTTAAGAAAGACATATGAGCAGCCAAAAAGCATAAGAAAAAATGTTCAACATCCCTTATCATAAAGAAAATGCAAATCCAAACCACAATGAGATGCCACCTAACTTCAGTCAGAGTGGGTAAGACTAAAAAAATAAAGTATGATAAGTGCAGGTGAGGCTAGGGAGGGAAGGGAACTCTCCTATGCTGTTGACAGGAATGTAAATTAGTATAGCTACCATGGAGAACAATATGCAGATTCCTCAAAGACCCTACAAAGAGAACTACCATAAGTAGGCCCTTAACACAGGTGGATAATCAAGAATTTAAATTGTTCGGCCTTCAGGAAAACAGTCTAGTCTGGTTCAGTCCCTGGGCTCTCCTTAAGACTCTTAAGGTCTGATTTCCCACTCAGCCATTGGATAGCTGTATGGCTTTAGGGAAGTTACTTAACCTCAACGCTTCAATTTCCTCATCTTTAAAATGAGGATAATAGTGTCTACAGTGGTTGTAAAATTAAGTGAGTTTCGAGACCAGCAGAGGGTCTAATGGTTTAGTTGCCGGACTCCCATGTAGTTGTCCTCCAATCTGGACCCAGTGGCTTGAAACTCACGTTGGGCGGTGTGTATGCATGCTCAAAATCCTGAGAGGAGAATGGGGGAGAAAGGACTGCTGCAGTGGCCATCCCCTCTAGGGGGTGATATTTTTTGCTTTCTGCCTTTCTCCATCTCCCCAGGGAGCACATGTGCCCTACAGCAAAAGACTCCCCCATACCCCAAAAAAGAAATGAGTTTCTACCTTTTTTCAATTCTTTTTTTTTTTTGCTTTTATATATATATATGTGTATATGTACACATACATATATATTTTTGGAGAGGTTTTCGCTACAGGGCACATGTGCTCGCCAGAAAGACAGAGAGACAGAAAACAAGAAATCACCCCCCAGGGGGATGGCCACACAGCAATCCCTTCTCCTCCATTCTCCTCTTGGGATCTTGGGCATGCACGCACATGCACCTGGCATGAGTTTAAGCCACCGGGTCTGGGACTTGAGCTGCGGTCAACTACATGGGAGTCCAGCGACATAGCCATTATGCTATTGCTGGTCCCAAGTTTCTACCTTTAAAACACTTAAAATTAGTGCCTGACAAATTATTAAGTGCTCAGCAAGTGCTAATTGCCTATAAACTATTTATTAGCAACTCTCTTCTAATCTACTTTGAAATTAATTTCTTAAAGCACATCCTTCTAGAATGTTTATTTCACATGAAAATTCTGGAGAAACCTTTTACCTTAAGTATGCATTTAAAGTCAAAAATTTTTTTTTTTTGGAGAGGTTTACGCCATAGGGTACCTGCACTCACCAGAAAGACAGAGAGACAGAAAACAAGAAATCACCCCCCAGGGGGATGGCCACACCACAATCCCTTCTCCTCCATTCTCCTCTCGGGATCTTGGGCACGCACGCACATGCACCTGGTGTGAGTTTAAGCCTCCAGGTCTGGGACTCGAACTGCGGTCGACTACGTGGGAGTCCAGCGACATAGCCATTATGCCAACTGCTGGCCCCTAAAGTCAATTTTTCATGAACAAAAGACTTCAAGCAAATGACTATAGATTGCACCTAGCATTCATTGTGCATGCATGCTCAAAATCCTGAGAGGAGAATGGGGGAGAAAGGACTGCTGCAGTGGCCATCCCCTCTAGGGGGTGATATTTTTTGCTTTCTGCCTTTCTCCATCTCCCCAGGGAGCACATGTGCCCTACAGCAAAAGACTCCCCCATACCCCAAAAAAGAAATGAGTTTCTACCTTTTTTCAATTCTTTTTTTTTTTTGCTTTTATATATATATATGTGTATATGTACACATACATATATATTTTTGGAGAGGTTTTCGCTACAGGGCACATGTGCTCGCCAGAAAGACAGAGAGAGAAAGAGAGATAGAAAACGAGAAATGACCCCCCAGGGGGGATGGCCACACAGCAATCCCTTCTCCTCCATTCTCCTCTTGGGATCTTGGGCATGCACGCACATGCACCTGGCATGAGTTTAAGCCACCGGGTCTGGGACTTGAGCTGCGGTCAACTACATGGGAGTCCAGCGACATAGCCATTATGCTATTGCTGGTCCCAAGTTTCTACCTTTAAAACACTTAAAATTAGTGCCTGACAAATTATTAAGTGCTCAGCAAGTGCTAATTGCCTATAAACTATTTATTAGCAACTCTCTTCTAATCTACTTTGAAATTAATTTCTTAAAGCACATCCTTCTAGAATGTTTATTTCACATGAAAATTCTGGAGAAACCTTTTACCTTAAGTATGCATTTAAAGTCAAAAATTTTTTTTTTTTTGGAGAGGTTTATGCCATAGGGTACCTGCACTCACCAGAAAGACAGAGAGACAGAAAACAAGAAATCACCCCCCAGGGGGATGGCCACACCACAATCCCTTCTCCTCCATTCTCCTCTCGGGATCTTGGGCACGCACGCACATGTACCTGGTGTGAGTTTAAGCCTCCAGGTCTGGGACTCGAACTGCGGTCGACTACGTGGGAGTCCAGCGACATAGCCATTATGCCAACTGCTGGCCCCTAAAGTCAATTTTTCATGAACAAAAGACTTCAAGCAAATGACTATAGATTGCACCTAGCATTCATATACTAATATAGGTATGCTGTGTTCTAGGCAAACAGTTAAATATTTAAAACCCATTAGCAGCCTCATAGACTTTCTAAATTCCTGCAGCTGGATGCTAGGCCCTGCTTCTGGAGGGGAATCCCTTCTCACTACAAAACTACCTCTCAGTCTTCTAACAATCTGGTAATAGTTGCCATTCCCCTGATATCCACCCTGGTTAAGCATTTTGAATCCCAGCAAACTAGCCTGTTGTCCAAAGAAGAGCCAGCATCTTTCACAGGTCCTGGGGCTCACATCCTCCACTACCTCTAATGGCTTCCTGTCTTTGTATCTTTCTTCTATCGTTAGTATAACTCGTTAATATTTCTCCGGTCAGGGCCAGAGAACAGATGGACTAGAAGAGGAGGGGAGAAGGAGAGAGAGAGAAAGAGCGCATGAGCTAGCCTGGGAGGAAGACAGAGAAAGCACCTCTGCAGTGGGGCGCTGTCATGCCAATCCCTTCTCCATCACGCCATCCCTTTGGGATTTGGGGTACACACGCCGGCCAGGCATTTTTTTCAAGTTGCTGGGGTGAAATTCAAACTCAGGTCCGCCAAGTGGGATTAGGTTCTACCCGCTAGGCCATGGGCGTGGGCTTTTATTATTATCACTATACCTATCGGACTGGAGGAATCCCGAGAGCGGTGCCATTCTTGCAACACTTACGTGGGACCAGACAACTGTTCATAACCAAAGGAACGCGTTTCAGGAATAGCCTTGTTTATCATCTAACGCGCTAGCCGTGCGGCCGGAGGTTCCGGCGAAACAAACCTCGAGGGGGGTGTTGTCCCATTTGTAGCAGCCTCGGGGGCAGACAGGCGCCCGGGCGCGGACCCGTGCCGAAGACCGCACACCGGCTCCCAAGCAAGCGGCGTGAAGGATCGTGACCACCACCTCCTCCTGTTTGATTCTCGAGCCCACGGCGGTTTCAACCCGACCACTGTAGCTACGGTCCCTAAGCCACCGCGGCCCTGACGACGAGGTTTCTCGAGAGGACGTCGGTCCCCTCCTTACCACCTTACAGCCCCGCAGGCTTCCAGGGCCGTCGCAGCCCAGCCTTGCACCCGCCCACGACCCTGTACTGGACCCCTCGGCTCTCACCTGCGGCTGCGGGCGGCGCCGGAGGCACCAGCACCAGGGCCGTCACCCATAGGAGGGCGAGCATCTTCCGTGGGCCTCAGGATTCACATCTTTGGTGGGATGCCTGGAGCGCAGGGGCAAACGCGCTGGCACCGCCCCGCGCACGCGTGCTGGAGAGGGGCAGGTCCTCACTCCCCCTTTCCGGACAGTCGCCGCCCAGGCGTGGCTCATCCATTTGTTTTCGGATGACCTCGCTTAACCGGAGGCCTTGACCCTTCCGGGAACTCGGCCCGGCGCCAGGATCCTTGCGCGGATCTCGCTGCTCTGGAGTTACCCGGCCGCTTCCTGCCGGGGGGCGCTGGAGGGCGCGGTGCGGGCGCTTTGGCGATCAGTTCTCGCCCGGGTCGCCATGGAATGTGGATTTGGGGGTTTCCGGCACCTTTGGACTCGGAGGCTGGAAGGAGGAGGCCGCTGAGCCTAACCTCCCTTGTGCATTGGGCGCTGTGAGCGAAGCGCTGGAGTATCTAAGCTAGAGCGGACACGTCGCGCTTTCGTTAGGGGACGACCTGGCCTAGGGGCGCGGCCCCTGTACAGAGTCCGGGCAGGCCCCAGGCGTGAGGTGGGCCGCAGAAAGGCCGTCTCTGGGCAGCTGTGATTGCCAACCTGCGTCGGTAATTTGAGCCCGCTGTTCCAGTGTTATTTTAATACCTTAGTAATCTATTACGTCTGTTATGGAGACCGCGGTTCTAGCCCCAACCCGGTGGCTTGAAAATCACGCCTGGAGAATATGTGTGGGCTCCCAGGATCCCTGGAGGAGAAGGCATTGCGGTGGGGCCCTGTCCCCTGAAGGGTGATTTCGCATTTTCCTCTGTCTCAGTACCTGCCCCCCACCTTGCCCCTCGCACCAGTGCTCTTGTCCTGAGGCAAAAACCTCTTAAAAAAATAAAAAGGTGAGAGGAAATAAGCAAATAGTTTATAACTGCTAAACAATGGTTACCAATTATATGGTTAAGTGAATGTTTGTGAAGAACGACTGGATTGAATATGCCTATTTAAAAAAAACATTTTTTAGGTATAAGTTACATACTGAAATTCACTTATTTTAAGTGAACTAATTTTTTAGTTAATAACTATTCTTAGGTCTTGGTTTTTTTTTTTTTTTTTTTTTTTTTTTGAGAGATTTTCACTGTAGGGCGCGTGCGCTCGCCAGACAGACAGAGAGAGACATAGAGACAGAAAGCGAGAAATCACCCCCCAGGGGGGATGGTCACGCAATCCCTTCTCCTCCATTCTCCTCTCAGGATCTTGGGCACGCACGCACACGCGCCCGGCGTGAGTTTTAAGCCACCGGGTCCAGGACACGAACCGCGGTCGACTACGTGGGAGTCCAGCGACATAGCCATTATGCTAACTGCTGGTTCCCCCTCTTTGGTCTTGTTTTTTAAAAGCCTTATATTATGGCTTTAGGTTTCATTCTGGGGTGAATAATATTGGGGTTTCATTCTGAAGTGTGTCAGTGCTTTAACTACTTAAGAGGTGGAAAAGTACACCATGAAGATAGTGGATCAAAATGGAAAATTTCTGGTTGTGCTAACTAAATTATACTCATTAAAAATCCTTTCCAACACTTTAAAGATTCTGGATAAAATGTTAATTTCCTGTTGTCCCAGAATTATTCTTGCAACTATAGTTGCAACTATAGTTGGGACATGTTTTGTTTTTGTGTTTAGAACAAAATGAGCTCAAAGCCAAATGAAACATTTTATTCATATTTTAAAACCTATTGGCAATTTTGACCCTTCTTTGTTTAGTGGGGACTTAAGAGTTTTAATAGATGTACACATTTTTTTGAAAACAAGTTGCAGCCTAATGGAAATATTCCAACTATATTTTAAAAGGCAAGTTCCTTTTGATTTTCAACTTGCTCACTACAAAAGCAGTTTTAAGGAGTTAAATTTTTTTTCTTTTTTTTTTTGAGAGGTTTTTGCTATAGGGCGCGTGCGCTCGCCAGACAGAGAGAGACAGAGAGACAGAAAGCAGGAAATCACCCCCCGGGGGGATGGCCACGCCGCAATCCCTTCTCCTCCATTCTCCTCTTGGGATCTTGGGCACGTACGCACACGCGCCCGGCGTGAGTTTAAGCCACCGGGTCCGGGCCTCGAACCGCGGTCGACTACGTGGGAGTCCAGCGACATAGCCATTACGCTAACTGCTGGGCCCCAGGAGTCCAATTTTTTAAAAAGAATTATTTAATTTTATTATTATTATTTTCCAGTTTGATCAGAGAGAGGCAGAAAAAGAGAGAGTGGGAAAGTGAGAAAGGAAGCCACCAGGTCCGCGGCTTGGCCACGTGGGAGTCCAGCACCTTTAACCACCATGCCACCTGCCGTCCCCCTTTTTATTTTTTTAAGAGAGTTTTTTTTTCTTTTGCTATAGGGCATATGTGCTTGCTGGAGAGACAGAGACAAAGCAAGAAATTATCCTCTGAGGAGGGATGGTCATGCCGCAGTCCCTTGTCCATTCTCCTTGGGATTTTGGGCAGGCACGCACACACGCCCAGAATGAGTATTTGAAAAGTATTCCTTGCACAGACATTTAAAAGAACATTTAAAAAATATTTAATAAAAGTAAAAATCTTAATATTTGTTCCTATTCTATGCTCGTAGCTACTGGACAGGTCTGAGGGCTTGTTGGACTCTAATCTGCAGGTTCCTTTGCAGCTTCCCTCAAGCTCACCTACTCAGAATGCTCTATATTGCTGTCCCCTCTCTTGTGTACCATGTTTATGGAAAGCCCTTGGGCTCTGTTCTACAGGATAAATAAAAAAAAGTATCCCTCTACTAGCTCAGGAAGAATTTTGAGCTTCAATTTGTTGCATAGATGGCTGACATTGATTTTTTTGCAGGGCTACCTGTAGTGGGATGCACAAGTCATGTAGTGTGCTGTATGGGATGCAAGTGATAGCCTTAATTTTTCCTAAGTGAAATTCTTTCATGAGTTTATCCAAGTTAGAAAAACCTGAAAATATAAACTAATTCAGTAATCATTTAGCACAAAAATCAGTGCCCTCTAGTTGGGGTACATCTCACTTATTAAACAAATTTAAGAGATTGTGACACTTTATATATAGAAGATAGAACAATGAGCAAGACAGATAAGGTACCTGGCTCCATGGCTCAGTGGGTAAGAGACCCAGATCTCACAGCCCAGGTGGTTTGAAACACATGCTAAGTGTGTGTGTGTGCCCCAAGTCCTGACAGGATGGAGAAACTGAGAAGAGATTGCAGTGTGACCATGTCCCATGGAGGAGTGCTTTCTCTCTCTCTCTCTCACTCTCTCCCTCTCTCACACTCTCTTTCTGGTTAGGGCGTAGCCTTCTGGCAGTGAAAAAAAAAAAAAAAAAAGACCAGGTATCTATATTAGTCAGTTCCAGCTGCTATAACAAAATACCACAGACATGTGGCTTAGATGACAGAAGGGAATTTTTTTCATAGTTCTGGAAGCTAGAATCCCAAAATTGAGGCTCTGGTTCATTTGGTTCCTGGTGAGGCAGGTGGATATTTTCTTAACTATGTCCTCACATGGTGGAGAGAGCAAACTCTCTAGTGTCTTTTGTTATAAAGACACTAGTCCCATAAAATCAGGATGCCATCCTCATGACTTCATTTGACCTATAATTACCCTTTATAGGCCCCCGCCTCCAAATACAGTCATACTGGGGATTAAGGTTTCAACATATGAAATGAAGGGGAAGGGCCTGATTCAATGTGTAGCATTGCCTGCCCTTGTGAAGTCGTCTATAAAACACAGATATTATTAACAAGCAACTAAATGTGTAATGAGAATGCAACATTCAGAAAAGGTGGCAGCTGACCCATAGCAAGCAGACTAAATTGTTATTTTATATTTTTATATTTATGTATTTTATATATATATATATGTATGCAGAAAGCATGCAGAAGCAATATATGAAAGTGTTATTTATTGGGTTGTCAGGAAAGACATGATACATTTTTGAATAGAAAAATATGTCATGACTTTCCTGATGACTTAATAGAAAAGGGTAAAGCTGAAGGGTAAACCAGTGACTTTTGACTTGAATAAGATGATCTATCTGCATTATGTGCAAGTCAAGTTTTTTTCCTTTAGTTCAAAAAGTATTTAAAATGATTCTTGAGCATTATAACTGATGTTTTATTTAGTAGGGTAAGTCATTTCTGGATTGGGTGAAAAGGTTATGACCACACAGTAGTAGGATAATCTGACTTCTCTCTCTCTCTCTTTTTTTTTTTTTTTTTTGAGAGAGGTTTTTGCTATAGGGTGCATGCATTCACCAGAAAGACAGAGACAGAAAGCAAGAAACCACCCCCCAGGGAGAATGGCCATGCCACAATCCCTTTTCATCCATTCTCCTCTCATGATCTTGGGCATGCACGCACATGAGCCTGGCATGAGTTTAAGCCACAGGACTCGAACCGCGGTCGGCTACATGGGAGTCCAGTGATGTAGCCGTTACATTATCTGCTGGTCCCCCATCTTCTGACTTCTCAATGCAACTACTAAGACTGCAGAGTTGTGTGTGTGAGTCATAGAGAGGCAGTGGAAAGCCACGTGTACCCACTTGTTTCTTACCTCATTTTGATAATTTGTAAAGCTTCTTTCCTGCTTTAGAAGTGAATCAAAACACCACCCGAAGCAGAGATTGAGTTCTTATTTGACAATACTAAGACCTAGGCAGGACACTGTCCCCTGACTTTGCATATACTGATGGTGTTGGTGATCAAGCCATGACCCTTTGGGTCTTCTTTACCTGTCTATGTGTATCAGTCTACATCTTCTGATGGTGAGCACCTGTATTTGTTGGATGCAGGCCAGAAATTCTTGGGAACTAATGATTCTCTGGGACAAGCCCTAGGGGGATAAATACCCCAGATATTTCCCTAGTGCCCTCTTGCCTTAACCAGAATAATGATTTTTTTTTTTTGGAGAGGTTTTTTTCGCTATAGGGCGCGTGTGCTCGCCAGACAGACAGAGACATAGAGGCAGAAGGTGAGAAATCACCTCCCAGAGGGGATGGTCACGCCGCAATCCCTTCTCCTCCATTCTCCTCTTGGGATCTTGGGCACACACGCACATGCGCCTGGCGTGAGTTTTAAGCCACCG